TTGAACTCCTGCACACACACATAAACACACCTTTCCTTCACACACTCTCTGCGTCTGATTTATTGATTGCTGATTGGTTTCGAGGCTCACCTCCTCCTTGGAGATGCCCGCCTGCTTCTTGCGGTTCCACTCGTTGTAATACAAACAGTTTCCATTGCGGTCAAATATGTACAAGTTGTGAACCGTCATCTGCAACACAGCCGATCACAAATCAATTAACAGACATCCACGATGGGGTATGCCGAATCAAAGAGGAACTCCTCCACGACATAAAAAGTGTTAACATTACTTTCTGTCCCGTGGGTATTCTTTTTACTGTAAAGTTTTAAATACCAGGGATAAAATTGCACATTTTTTTTATTGTAGTCTGGTCCTCCGCGATGCTCGGACGTAACACAACAGCCACTAATTATCTGTTAACCTCATTTAAACACACCAGCTTTCGATAATATGTTTAATTACTTCATTTAAAGGAGAAAAACACATTAAATGTTTTAAAATAATCGTTATAATCAGGTTTAGCCGAAGTTTTTCTAATCCAGCTCGGTGTTTACCTTATCTTCCTGTTTCTCGCAGGACCCCAACTGCAGAGCTGTTCACTTATGTGCCCGAATAAAACTGTTTCGAGGAAATTTATACAGCTAAGTTAGACTCTCTGAATTGAAAGAAGGTTGAGTTATTAAATCTAACTTGTAATTTAATCATATGGGAGTTGGTTTGTAACATGGATATTCCGCTAATAGCGTAAATAAAATAATGTTAGGCTTTATGCGCGGACAGCCTCTGCTGAGTCCAGTTATTCATAGAGAGAAGATGGCGGCAGCACCGGTGATGATGCCGTACTTCGGCCAGCAACTTTCGTCCAAAAGTGACCTGGTCCCGGACTGGACTCGCCAGGAAGTCAGCACCGGGGTAAGTACGTGGTCTGTGGTGTTGTGCCGGACCGAACCAGGCCCGCCTCGGTCCCGGTGGAGCGTCTTTAAACGGCAGATAGCGGCTGAATGAGACAGCAGTTCTGCAGCAGCTAACAGCGGCTAACGGTAGCTGTGTTTGTGAGGAGCTCCGGAGCACAGCGGGACCGGAGCGGGCTAAACTGCGGGGTAGAGTCCGCGGGGACACGCGTGTACTGGGTGGTTGATTAAAGATATTTAAATAACTACAGGGACGCGTGGAGAGCTGGCTAACGCTATGGTTGCATTGTGGGACAGACGTTTAACATTTCTGTGTTTTTCTCACTTGAGCGTTTTTCAATGTGGCGTAAATGGCTTGTCCGATAATGAGCTCACCGATAAAGGAGTCATTTAACAGTCTCAGAGGAGGAGGAGGGACACGGAGGGTGATGAAGCTGAGAGTTTAAACGGGAGAGATGCTGTCCGATAATGAGTGCAGGGTGTTTATCAGCCCGTTTACCTGTTTGTTGTCGTGTGTCAGACCACCATCATGGCCGTGGAGTATGACGGAGGAGTGGTGATCGGGGCCGACTCTCGCACCACTACAGGGTGAGAAAACAAACACTGAACACGTGACGATGGAGCCGAGTGCAGGAAACACTCCTTTAACCTGTCTGTGTGTTTGTGTTTCAGAGCGTACATCGCCAACAGAGTCACAGACAAACTGACTCGCATCCACGACAAGATCTACTGCTGCAGGTCAGTCAACCTCACTGGGCTGCATCACAGGAACTCTAATCAGAGCACAGAAAACCTTTCAGAATAAAACAGCTATGTTTTTAATCTGAGGAAGTCTTTCAAAATAAACTTTGTTTAGAAGCAGCAGTCCTCACAGAAACCCACAGTCTGCACTTTTTAGGGACTCTGTAACCTTGCAGGAACACAAAGTAACCGCTTTAGCAACCCTGAAAACCACAGAGACATGAAGGGATCTAAAGCCTGGGACCAAGTTTAGGATCTCTGGGCTTCTTAAAGAGTCATTAAGGAGCCTGAGACATTTGTACAGCCTTCTTATGTAAAACTGAAGCCCCAGGAAACATTAAAAGGCAGTTTGAAATAACTTTTTACTGAATTCATTTGTTAATTCAGAGCCCAGAGAGACCTCTCATAAAACTTTAACCTTTGGTAAAGATGCTGAGAACTGTTTAAGCAACCTTAAAAGGTTTAAGGATGCAGGATTACATCGCCCAAGTAAAAAAAAAATGATGTCAAATATTTGTGCTGTTTGTGCTGCAAGAATTTTTTTGTGCCACTATCATCTTAAATAATATTAACAAGAACTTTTCTGAAGAAATTTAAAGGGGCCTGCTAGTTGGTGCGTATCAGTCAAGCCCGAATTGCAGTTTCTGTTGACCAGTCAGGTCCAGCAGGCCTCAGGTTGGAGCATCAAACAGCTGACAAAAACAGATAGTTAGTGTCTGTCTTTGTTCAATGTGATGGAAATTTCCAAAATATTGTAGGTTTCCCTGCAGCTCCTTAGTGAAGGTCTCTCTATCTGTTGCATTGTGTTGTGTGGGTTAAAGGTAAGTGTTTATGGATATGCTAGAGGTTGTGGATCACTAACTACATTCCATAACATTACATTTATCATCTAGTGTGGTACCAGCAGGGTAAAAGCTAAAAGCTAATTATTGCTAATATGCTAACTAACATTAAGCTAATAGTAAGTGAACTGTAGCTTTTACATCAAAGTTAGCTGGAATGCTAATATTAACAAAATTGCTGACAAAGCTAATTATTGCTAATATGCTAATGGTAGCATGTGGGTTAACAGGTTAACTAACATTAAGCTAATAGTAAGTGAACTGTAGCTTTTACATCAAAGTTAGCTGAAATGCTAATATTAACTGACATTAGCACGTGTGACAGCAAGTTGTATAAAATGAACAGGAGTGCACGTTCAGCAGAACCTAAACGGCCTTTAATTGGGCTCCGACTGATACGCACCAACTTTAAAATTTCTTTAGAAATGTTCTTTTAAAATATTTTTAAAATGATAGCGGCACAAACATTTGACACCACTTTTGTTGGATTTGAAGAAGGGGGGTATGTTGAGCCTTTGAGGAATGCTGGATGTTTCTTTAGCACCTTGAGAACTTGTCTGAGAAACTCTCCTGATGAGCGGCTCCTCAGCAGACGCCTCATGTTTGTGTTCTGGCTGCAGGTCTGGATCAGCTGCTGACACTCAGGCCATCGCTGAGATCGTCGCCTACCAGCTGGGCTTCCACAGGTAACACACACAGCTTTGCACAGCCTTCCTGTCAGCTCAGGTGAGGCCAATACTCACCTGTGTCTTTGGCCCCGCCCACAGCATTGAGCTGGACGAGCCCCCATTGGTGGAGACGGCAGCCAATCTGTTCAGAGCGAGCTGCTACCGTTACAGGGAGGAGCTGACAGCTGGGATCCTGGTGGCGGGCTGGGACAAGAGGAAGGGCGGACAGGTGAGACCTCAGCGCTGATGCAGTCCTTCGTGTGGCCAGCAGATGGTGCTGTTTCCACCATGATGTAAAGCATCGTCTGTGTGTGTTACCTGTGTCAGGTGTACAGCGTCCCGATTGGTGGGATGTTGGTGAGGCAGCCGGTGTCGGTGGGCGGCAGCGGCAGCACCTACATCTACGGCTTCATGGACGCCAACTACAAACCCGGGATGAACAAAGAGCAGTGCATGGAGATCACCGCCGCAGGTAACGCACCGCTGCTGCTGCAAGGCATGCTGGGAGCTGCCCCCCACAACCGTCTCACTGACTCACCGTCTCTCCTCAGCTCTGTCTCTGGCCATGGAGCGGGACGGCTCCAGTGGGGGCGTGGTCAGGCTGGCCAGCATCTCGGAGGAGGGGGTGGAGCGACGCGTCATCCTGGGAAACCAGCTGCCCAAGTTCTCCACGCACTGAGCGTGCTCAGCTCCACTCACGTGTCTGTTATGTTAATAAAGTTTTCATTTTGTCTCTTCACTGTCGTCGTCTCATTGATGCTCAAATCAGTAACCACAGATCGATCGTACCAATACTCACTCTGTGGGTGCAGTTCCCCGAGTGCCCAGCAGAGGGAGACACAGACTCAGCAGTGGGTGCTTATAGTCAGGGCCATTCTGGGTTTGTTTGAGGTCAAAGGTCAGATCCTCAGGGGTGTGGCACAGCCTGAGTCTCCTCTCTGAGCGCTGTGTCCCCGCAGACCGCCGTCTGTCCGTCTACAGAAATAAAGGAGTTTTAAAAAGTCGCCTTTCATGGAGGCGCTTAGAAACAGGAAGTGCAGCTACCCACTTTCTTAAAGTGCTCGACAGCTGAGTTGGACTTTTCTGACTTAAACGTTTTAAATGAAGCGACAGGCCTCGTCTTGCTGATGTCAGTGTCGTCTGTGGCTGATCTGCTGCGAGAGGAGACCAGAGGCTGGGGGGACGTTTCCACTGCCAGGTCACAGGGACGACCGACACTCAGCTGATACTGAGTGAGAGAGGCGTGAAGTCCACTTTTTCATCTGGACTCTTTATTAAGGAACAAGAAAGTGGATGTTCTTCTCCGTCACAGCGACCCTCCTTCACCCATGAGCTCTTCCTGTGTTTCCCCTGCTCCACCTTCATCCTCCACCCCCCTCCTCTGCACACGCTCAGACCATCTCAGGCTCTGACGGACTCGTGCTGCTCACGCTGGTGTTGAGGTCGTTACAGTTTCTGCTAAAAGTTTTATTAGATTTGTTCTTTTTACTTTATTTGTTTTTATTTCCAGGTTTTAATCTTATATTTTAAATGTTTCCTATTTTTTTTAAATCATTTTCTTATTTTTGTTTTTGTTCTCTTTTAATTTAAAAAACCTCATTTCTAAGTTAGTATTTATTTATTCTTTATTTTTACTTTATTTCTGCGTTTTGTGTTTCCCATTGTGGTTTTTTATAACTACATATTTTATATTACCTCTTAACTTTTATTTTTTTTTATTTGTGTGCAGTTTAATTGTTTCATTTCTTTTTTAAATAAAAAACTTTTTATGATTTTTATATTTTTTAACCTTTTAATATTTTTTTCACTAATTAAAAATAAAATATAAATAATATTTGGTCTTTTTCATAATAGTTTTTCTGTCTTTTTAGTTGTTATTTACTAATCTCTTATTTTTATTTATCTTCTTTATTTGTTTCAATCATTTTTAGTTATTTTAAAAATTTCTCTGTTTCATTTTTTCTGCAGTTCTGATTTTATTTCTTTTCACTTCTGATAATATTAAGTTTTAGGTTTTAAACTTTTAAATTCTTGATTTTTCCGATTTATCTGACTTTTTATTTTTTTATTTTAGGAAATCGTTTTTATTTCGACTCTCTTGTTATCATTTTTTGTCATTTTAAATTCATTTTATTTTGTTTTTCACCTTTTCAATTTAATTTAATTTAATGATTATTTTTATTTCTGCATTTTGAATCGTCGTGTTGTGACATCACTGGGGGGCGGGACTCTCACCTGTCTGTCAAACGCTCGTCAGTCAGGTGACAGTTTCCCACAGGCCTCCTCTCTGTCCTCTCCATCCTTCCTCCTCCTCCTCCTCCTCTTCCTCTCCTTGTTTTGTTCTCCGGGCCGTTCACACCTCTGCCGACAAAGAGCAGAAACAAAGAGCAGCAGCAGGAGGACACCTGACTCCGTCTTTTGTCCTCAGACTGGGAGAAACAGGAGCTCGCCTCCTTTCATCTCTCTCTCTCTGTCGGGACTGAATGTCTCTCGCCCGCTCTCACCTGTCTTCATGGAGCTGCAGGTGAGAAACTTCAGCCTGACTGTAACCCCGCCCCCTTTAACGTGACAGTTAAAACAGAATCCTGGATCCTCACCAGTCTGACCAGTTCAACTCCAAACATCCAGAAAACACTTCAAAATAAGAGCTGGGTCTCCTTCCCTGACTCATTTCAAAGTAAAAGTGTGGGTCTACACAACAAACTGCTGGAAACTCTTCAACAGTCGTGCTGATCTTTGTTTTCACGAACAATCCGAGGCCGTGCCGCTGAGGATTATGGGATAGATTGATCTCCTTCCCTAAAGGAGGCTCCAGTGTCTCCTCAGCTGAAGAACAAAGGAGGCCGTGCAGCTCCTTCCCTCCATGTTTGGGGAGTCACTGCAGGTGTGACTGTTTCATAAGGTCAGAAACTACCTGAGAGAGAAAGCACGGCTGCTGAGGAGCGTCCTCCTCCTCAGGTGTGGATTCAGTTTGTCAGACAGGACGAGAGACATTTACATAACAAACACCCAGAGAGAGAGAGAGGAACCCTGCTTCAGTTTCTGCTGTTTTATCTTTAATGAAGAAAACGAACCAGAAACAACATCAGCACGCTCTCTCACACACATGAAATGTGACTTTTCCCCACTGTCAAGAGTACTGACCACTGATTAGAACCAACAGGAATAAATAAATAAGATAAAGTGTAATAAATGTGTAATAAATGTGTAATAAAGTAATAAAGCAGAGTGATGCAGATATGTGTCAGTATCATGCGTGTTCATCAGCTGATGATTCAGCTCTGATTAGAAAGACAACAGACAGATTAAAACACAGAAATATGATTTGTTTAGACTTTTATTAAAGCTGGTTTGATCATTTTGTTCATATTTTATTTAATTTGTATTTTTTCTTTCAGGAGCTGAACTAGAGAAATTTTCT